ATATAAATAATAACGTAGATAAATTAAAAAAAAAAAAAATTACAGTCAGATAGAAAATTGAATTCTCTTTTATTTATGTTGATGTTTCATTACCCAGGCTAAGATTTGAATGCAACAGCATGTTTTTTTTTTGCGATTTCTGATTATTGATTTTGCCAATAATGCCCACGAATCACCTCATAATGAGATAAATGGTGGTGTTTTTATTTTGCATATTTTGGATAAAATGCATATTATTGCATATATTGAATAAAATGAATATTATTGTATATTTCGATTATAATAATGTGAAAAATGAATGTTTTACAGTATATTTCGTAATTAATATTTATGATTATTTTATTAATATTTCGTATTTAATTCTAGTTCTGCTGATTAAAGTGTAAAACTTGTTTTTTAGTCAAACATATATTTTATTTTAAGTTATTTTATTTTATTTTATTTCTCAATTATATTATATTAAGACAAACAGCCAACCACTGATGTATTTCAATAAATACATATTTTTTTGTATCTATATTTTTGTGATTATCTTATAAAAATTTAAATGCATATTTTACAATTTTTTATTGCATACAAATCCTAGTCCTACTCATTACCTACTCTCATATTTTTCCAATATATGTATATACTGGGACGCGTAATATTTTAGCAGTTTATTTTTTACGATTATTGCCATTTATCGATAAATATATAAATCCTAATTAAGATTATATAACAGGAATCTATCAAAGCACTTTATATCGGTAAGAAATTGTATTTACTTTGAAATTCGAATTTGTAGTTAGTTACGTTTCGACTTTCGATCTCTCAATCATTCACACTGCGTAATATTAACGTAAAATTCAGCATGTTTAACGTTAAAAATAACCGTGGAAATTAAATGATCAATTGATTTGGACAAATGTAGCTTTCGTTTTTAGAACAATAATAATTTGTTTAGTGATGTGTGCAAAAAAAAAATTCGCTGAAATAATTATCACTAACAACTGAAAAACTATTTCAATTTGCTCTAATATCGTAACTATTTTTGTATGCATAATTAGGCTCTTTGATTTTATTAATGTGTGTTGCATGCAAGTGTTATTTTACTATATTTTACTAGGCAGGGTCAATATTTTCAAGTTGGGCCTTATAAAAATGAGTTTATTTAATTAGAATTATAAATAATATAATCCGAGACGAATTTTGGTTGTGGGTAGTGTTATCGTATAGTATTACAGTACATAGCATACATTTTTTTCAATCAAGTATTTTTGTATTTCTACGGTTATATCTTAAAACACCACAAGTATCAAGGGTGTCCATAGGAAAATTCTCAAGGGGGGACAACAACATTTTAATTTATCAATTTATTCATAAATAGGAATGACCCACGATATAGGAAGGGGTTTACAATTTTTTAAATTATACTATTACTTTATATATATCAAACTGGAAACATTATTTATTATTTAACCAATTTACCATAAAAGTAATTTATTTAAATTTTTATTTAATTAATAATATAAATTGGACACCTAAAACATTAGTTATATTTATTAAAATATTAATTTATAAATAAGTAAATATTATGGTTCTGTACAGACACACACATGTACATACGATATTTCTGGAAATACACAATATTTTAAGAATTGATAACTATCCATAGAATAGAAACGAAAAATCGTATTGTTATTTATAGCTGATAAACCTGATTTTCCCAACTAAATAAATAGATTTTTTATAAACAAATTATAGATTTTCATATATTAAATTAAATTTTTAAATTCTATATAAATAAATATTTTCTGATCATAGTAAACAATTTTCCAAGATTTTTGATATTTTTCAGGGGGGGGACATGTCCTTCCCTTGCCTCCCTATATGGGTGCCCTTGACAACTATAGACATTTTAGGGGTGGCAATCAAAGTTTTTACGACTTAAGCGTTTATAAAAGTCGCAATTATGACCTCCCAATGAAGCCACTGGTCATGGTATCGTGCTAAAATTTTTTTTTTTTTATATAAATGTGTGCTTTATCGTACTATTTTTTTATGTTCCGTAGGTATTGGGATATGCATTTTTGGTGTTGTTAGAAAGCGCTACATTGATCATAGAATAATATAATTATATGGATTATTCTACATAATTAATTACATCTAATTCGCATGTCGTACGTGATAAAAGTGACAACGACTGTAATTCTGACTCGCACGCACGTACAGTGAACTGAAATATTATTATTTAAGGTCGCCAAGCGCATCAATGATGTTCCGTAATGTGCTATTATTTTTTAACTGCATATTATGATATTGGTAGATGTACATTAGTTGCAATAAAATTGTTGTAACGGTCGATTAATATGTATAAATGCATTGTGCAGAAAGCAATATTATTGTGATATCCGTCTATCTCGAAAAGAATGTGTGCGTTTATATGGGTACTTTTACAGCCAGAGATTCCGTATAATAGGAGAAAGAAGAAAAAAACGGTTATCGCTCCCACGAAAACGCTCCGGACCAGATAATTATTCGATGTCCTCGAGCTCGGATATACGAGAGTGAAACTCATAAGGCGGGTATTTACTATTTGAATATCTACATTATGTATACATTTATGAAATCAAACATTATAATACGTCTCTAAATACCATACAGTGTTTGATTTCATGTTGGTATTACGTCATGCTTCCCTGTGTTGATGAATGTTTTGTACAATTCACGCTTTCGATCTCTCTTGTCTAAGGGGCGTTTTAGTCGTTACTATTATTTGAACAAAATACTATTATTGTTAATCATAGTTCCCTACCTAATAGGTACTTCCTATCTAAATATTCATATTGGCCGATTATCATCGAAGTTTGATAACATACTATTATTAACTAGTACCGCCGAAGTGTTTGATTTATTCATTTTTGGTTTATTTCAATTTAGACACGTTAGATTTGTATTACTTCGTGGTTTGTTTACTGTGATTTATTTATTTTTTTTTTTGATCAAAAGGATTGCTCCAATTATTACGAAATAAAAAGTGAATAATATTTTAAAGGGTAGGGGGTGTAATTTTTTAAAAGTTTTCCAAATAATTGAGAAAAATAGAGAAAAATTTGAAAAAACTTTAGTTTCAACTAAGATCCAAATCTTCACCACTAAAAATCAGTTAAGGTTAAGGAAAATAGTTAGGTATTACTATATTACGTTGATTAATTGTTATTATTACTCGAACATAGTCAGAAATTTGTTCAGAAAAAATTTGTAATGGTCCAAAATAATTGTAAAACGAAATAATCATTTTCGTATGTTTTATTTATGTAAAAGTTTAAAATATTATAAAACAAAAATTTTTGGCGTCCCTTTAAACCATGCGCCCGGGGCGTATGCTCCCTAGGCCTCCTCCACGGCACGGCTCTGGTAGGCACCCTCTGAAATACAGGTCTACGCACGCTTATGCCGGTATGTTTATTGTTTATTTAAACGATCTGTATAACAGACATAATTTAACGTTCTTACTCATGCATATCGTTTTAAAATTATATATTTTATTTTTAACTTTTTTAAGATAGGTGATTGATAAAATTAAACTAGTTATACTAATTATATATAGCCCCCTCCCCATTTCATATTTCTAGATCCGCACTTAATCAGAAGGACCCATTAAACTAGGGACTGTCGTTTATACGAATACTTCAATACATATTAGAATAGAGTGGCGTAGAAAAGAGGGAGCTTCAGATCATTGAAAGAAATCACTCTACCAGCGGAAAGTTCGCGGCGAATCCATTCTCGCGTTCACGTTCATGGCGTGTATATGTGTGCTCATAAGTCTCCTTATTTCTTGGCATTAGCATACATAAGAAACAATCTCACTTGGAACAAATACGTATAAAGTAATTATATTTTTAACAAGATTATATCTTGAAAACTTAATTGTTCGTGATATAATTAAACAAATTAAGTTCAAAAAAATAAATTTTATTTCCTACCCGTCAAAACGTGACTTTTAATATATTTGCTGGCTACATTGAGTAATTACTCTATGACCAGCTGGCATGCTTGTAACCATTACGAATCACACTCTCGTTGGATACAAAAATAGGTACAACACTTTCGTGCATTGAATACGGATATTGATAGTTTACAGCCATCTGAATTCGAGAATTCGATACAAAATAATATTATCGTTTATCAAACCAGACTTGGATAATATAATTATTTTCCGTGACCACAATCAAAATAATGTATGCGTGAGTATAGAATTTAGCGAAGTTATTAGTTACTTTATTAACTACTACGTAGCCATGGTGTATGGTCAATAAAAAAATCATTTTTCGGTTAAAAAATATTAAGTACATCCATTTTATTGTTCAGTGATCCACGGTAATAATTGGTTTGTTCGTTGGTGTTTGATATATTGTATCTTATAAAACATATTTTCATCAACGATCAACAATCTTAGTCGTACAAGAGACTGCTGTCAAGTGCAGATTACAGTTGAAAGGTATTATTTAATTAATTTCATTGTTTTCTAATTAAAATATATTTTTTTAAATTGTTTTAATGATAACTATTGCTAAAGCGTACAGACATGCATGATATTGTATTAAAACTAGATATTTTACTTCACGTATGAAGTAATTTTATTAGACCTGTTGGTTTTACACTAATATTTGTTTAATTTATTCAATAGTAAAGTTTTGCCTCCAGAGTCGTTTTATGTTCATCCATCTACTGTTAAATGATATTACACAGAATTTAATTTATAAATAATTATATTAAGGTTACAAATAATATTTTTTTGCGAGACTATAATTATATAATTAAATCAATTATAAGTAACTAGTAATTATTTTTAAAACAACATTTTTGCCCCTCAAATTTTGGCCTTACCTATCCCCAAATTGATGGTTAATAAATAGTAATAAAACAATTTAACTATAGATCCCCTGTATTAATTTATGTTACTTATAAAAAAATTGTATTTTCAGAAATATTTATTTTTTCAATTAATGACAACTATGGAAGCTAGTGTTAAACCAGTAGTAAGTATTAAATGTTGTATAATTTAAAATATTTGAAATTCGATGTAATTATTAATAACATTAATCATACATACAACAATTATTGAATCTTACTAAAAAAGTGTATTATATATTTATAAATATATGTCTAAGTTTATAAAATAAAATTTATTGTACTGTTGTATATTTTTTTTTAAGATATGTTTCATTTTATTGAATTAATCTTATTTTTAGAAAATATTTAGAATTATTTTTTTAAACGATTTTACTTTAGGAAATATTTAATTTGGTACGATCAATTGTCCAAAATGTAAATATTAACAATTTTGATGAAATGGCACACACAATTATTTCCATACCACTGAAAACAATTTATATATTTGAAAACATAGTGGACATAATTTATTTTCGGGTATATAAATATTATTGATAATTATAATAGTTATTAAATTTGTTGTTTTACTTATCTAGGCTTTAAATAGACCAGATTTTACAGTTTTATATGCAAAGTTATGTGCATACATGGCAAATCATGCTGCATTTAACAAACTTCACGATTCTAAAACTACTTTTCAGAAAGTTTTAGCACAAAAAATCTTTGACATGTTTACCTCATATTATACTCGTACTCCTCAGAATGAAGTACATAAATTAAAAAAAAATTTTATGAACAGTAATATGGTAACTAGTTATAATTTGTTAATATAATAATAGTGTTTTTGTGATTATATTAGGTTTTATAATATAATCTATAATTATTAGTCTTAAGTCATTACAAGCTTAAGATAAATCTCAGTACTGATACTTGCATAGTTAATTTTTATTTATAAATAAACTGATTTGTATCATTTTAAATCAAAATTTATTCATACATAATATGATTTACCCAAATGTATATTATATAATTAACAATAATAGCTAATAATTAAACTGACTTGAGTAGAATTACTCAACCAAACTACTAAAACTTAACCATTTTTATTTGCCTTTGACTAAAACCATATTATATTCAAATACATTTTCCACCAATTGATAAAATTGATAATATATGTTTTTTAATTTAATAATCAAATAATATAAATATTCTATATCTGTTATAGACCCCATCTTTTTTCAAGAATATATTGAATAGTTTTCATTTCCAATATTATAAAAGGTCTTTAGCCCATTGCAAGTATGTTTTCAAGTAAAATTAATTAATAATTTGTATATATTGTACGAAATAATATTTTTATAGATTTATCGGTGAATTATTCAAACAAGGGGCTTTTACCGAAAAAAATATATTGTCGTTCATTCACGAATTAATGAAAGTAAAAGATATTCTTAATATTCATTGCTTATGTATAATATTACGAATAGCAGGACAAAAATTATCAAAAGTAATAACCAAAATAGTAAAGTATTAGGAAATTATAGAATAAATAATTTCTTATTTCATTTTTTTTAGACTCATAATTTGGACGGTATAGTACACCATATTTTATTATTTAAAAATGAAAACATTGTCCTCATAAAAATGTCACCTACTCTTCAGTCTTTGATATTCAAAATACAAAACTTGCATTTACAATGTTGGATACAAGAAGGTAATAATGTCAATTTTCAAATTATACTGTATAAATATTATTATTCATTAGAAAAAATGTACTATTAAGTTACTATATTATGCATTTATTTTAACAAATTTTTTTAAGATTTAGTTATGTTTTATAATACGTCATGTATAATTATAATTTTTTTCTTTTTTTGTTATATTATATTCAAGAATTTGACTTTTAAAATTTTATGTTATGCATTTTATTTATGTTTAGAAGTTATACAAAGTTGTAACATTACTTTCAAATTGTATATTAGAAAGTAGGATAAAATTATTATGTAATTTTGTATTAGTATAAATTTTTATGCAGTAATAAATAATTGCTTTTAAAAATTTTTCTTAACAATGATCGGTTTGCAATAAAGATTCCTTCAAATTTTCATAACGAAGACATCAAAATCGTATTTTATTAAATTAAATAAATAATATACAAGATTGGTACATGATATCTTCTGAACAGTTTTAATTTAATATATATTTGATTGAATCTAAATAACATAATTTATTAACTATTTTAATAACTAATTTTTTACAGAACCTCTTAAGTTAATTGAGGACAATGAACAATATGTTTCCTTTGAAAATTTGCCGGAGCAATTAAAAAAACTATATGATCTTAAATCATATACAGTAATGGCCCAATGTATTATTGATGAATGTATGGCTATTCTTAACGGTGTTGACATGATAAATATCAATGTATGTATTAGGTTTATTTATTTTATCATTAGTATTTTAAATATAATAAATAATAAAATAAGAAGAAGAATACATTTTGATTATTGTAATACAAATAGATTGTTGTTATGAAGAAGAATAATAAATAATTATTCCACATTTTTTATAACTCATCAAACAAATCTACTAAAACATCCTAGATATTGATCATCAGAAACTTGAAATTTGAAATATCTATTTCGTACTAATATTAAACTTTTTTTTACATAAATATCTTAAAATATAATTATTTAACCATCAAAGTTTATATTATTATACATTATAATACCAATAACTTTTTGATTACACATTATGTTTATTTATTTAAAAATATTTACAGGAAATAGTACATTCGTTAAATAATATCAACTCGTGGCTACATTACGATCAAGTGTCATTCGTTGCTTCTATGATACTTATAACACTAAACGAAGACCAAAGTATTCGCCATAAGGCTGGTATACTTTTAAACTTATTTATTAAGAAAGGCTTGTTATTAATTGATTCGGTTTTATCGGGGTAAATATAATTATATAAATTTTCTGTATTGTACATTTTATTAATTATTATTTTATTTTTATTTCATATATTAGAATTGACAAAATAATGGATGACTCGGAATTGAAAATAGAACTTCCAAGATTATCAGATTTATTATTTGACATCACTAGTAGGATTACGAATCTGATATAAATTCAGCTTAATTTTGTATAACTTAATTTATACTGTTTTGTATTGTATATTCTAATTACTTTTTACTTGAATTACTATTTTAAATCGAGGTTTTGTCCAAAAAAATTTTTTGTGTTATAATACAATTTTCGTTGGTCTAATTGTGAAATAAATTATTATTGTTAAATAATCCATATTTTAGTCATTAATAATCTTTAATTTCGCATTTTTTGAATACTTTTGGCAGAATAATCAAAAATATTCAAGTGCTTACATAAACAATAAATTGAATTATTAATTTTTTTTTTTTTTTTTTTTTTTTTGAGATTTCACATGTCTCGGTTTTTATCATTTTTGTTGCTTGTATCTCATAGGCATTCTTGGCTGCGATAAATTTCTATACATTTAATCACAACAGTCGATCAAACATGATTAAATTTGCCAACGTTTTTATTTTATTAGTTAACTACTCAATCTAAAAAGTAAAAAAAATAAAAGCACAAGTTTAAATTAAGATATATATTTAAAAAACCACAATATAAGAATATATCATAATAATCGACATGAACGGTTTCATAAAAGTTTCGAATGTTTGATAAAAATAAACGCCCAAGAGATATGAAAAACTATGTACATTTGTTGATAGTTTTAGAAGCCAATTATCGTACCAAATAATCTCGACACGTGTGAACAAAAAAAGCAGAGCTTATCGCTTTCAAAAGTCACCATGCATTCTCGAAAACCGCGTGAGTTATTATCATGGTGTAAATAATCATAATATGACTCTCGAACAAAAAATCTTGTATTCGATAATCGCATGGAAGATGCTCGAATGGTAGAATGGTAGGTACGAGAAATGAGAAACTCTTTCCGCGTAAATCCGTTTAGACTTATTAAAGTATTAACATTTTTAAAATATAAATAATAGTACATCAGATAAGTATAGTAATAATTTTATAATCGACTAATTTACTTTATAAACTGATATACCTACCTACATATTGTAAAATTATAAAAACCTATTTGATAATAGAAACGAAATCGATATTCTGCAGGTCGGTCGACGGGTGGAAGAATAATAACATATATCAACTCATTGTATAGTTTATAAAACAATAATTTCACATATTTACTTATATTCACATATCATTCATATTATTTGATCACATATTTATGTAAAAGATTTTGAAAATAAATATTTTATTAAAAAAAAAAAAAAAATAATTTTAACTTTAATATTGTATGGTTTAAAGAATTTAATTATTAAGTCATATTTTTTAAATTAAAAAGTAGAGAAAGCTGAACTCGTAAAAATGTTTAATTTATTTTCACATTGCCTATTTTTGTTTTATTATTTATTGGATGTGGAAACATTACTGATTTATATCACTTATCATAAATTTTACATTATTTACATGAAAAATGAAAAATCATATAAATCTTACTGAATTTGAATTTATTTTTGAGTTTAAATGTATACAGACAAATATGTCAATTTTGAATAGACCTAAATACCTAATATTTTCTTTCGTACAAAATATAATCACAGTTTTTACGGTAGATAAATATTTAATTGTTTGAATTTATGTGTTTATAGACATACCGTGTAAATATAAACGTAATGGATATATAATTTAATATTTTAAACGCTGAATAATATTTTTAAATAGTTTATTGAAAACCATGACATATTGCATATTGTAATTTCATATTTATTTTACAAGGAAAATATAGTCTTTTGTATACATATTTTATAATAATACATAAAGTTAATTTTATGATATGGATTTTTATGAAAATTTTTATTTATCTATTACGTATACAAATAAAAGTGCTCATGTGTAAACCATTTTCTTCGTCAAAAACGTTTTATTTTTTAATGTGATCGTGCATGTCCCAAAAATTGTATCTATACAGACGTAAATCACGGTAAAAGTTATTATTGTTAAGACCATCATCAGGTTATTTCTGATTATTTTCAAATTCAATACTTTATTTGATACAATTTATATATTTTTACCATTTTAGTAATTTTTTATTATTTTCATGTTTTTCCGTTTCTTTTATATTAATATAATACAATTGCTTATTCACATACGAACTATTGAGTCGAAGTTTATTATTATTTGTCGTTTTCGATTTATTCATGGGACTCATTCATTTGTGGATTTTATTTTTGTTTTAATTTAAAAATCTTTGAAAATTATTTATAATCAATTGTATTTCATACACACATGTATTGTTCATTACAATATATTCATGCAGTCATACAGGTGTACGCGTATACTTTATACTTATACGTATATGTGTAGTTACCTAATTGTTTGTTCTTCAGGTCGACTATATCAATTTATTTATTTGGAAGATGGTAAACTGCGACAGAAAAAAAAAATTAAGATTAAACAATCTGCGACAAAACCGATAAGATACATTATACAATTTGCGGCAATTTATTATATATACCTTCTATATATACTATATATATATATTTTTCGTTTGATATTATTACTTACTGCTTGACGTTCAATTGTATAATCTGATTCATTACTATGATCAAAAACTGATTTTTCTTGTAATAAAGTTTTTTCCTTGTCGAAAACAAGTTTTACCTTGCATGTTTTTTAATGCCTTTCTATGTTTGATTACCATTTCTTTTGGATTCATATTTAAATTTGAATTTAAAATTATTTAACATTGTTTATTCTTTGTCATTCTGGCTAAACATTGTTTTAAATTCCATGACATTGAATAAATATTAAACTTTATTTCTACTAACCTCTAACACTTGTAAGTAGATAATAACTAGTATTTTCAAAAGTAAAGGAATCGATATTACTGATATATTTCGTTAAAACTTAAAAATACATTTGGATTAACACTTTGTACGCAAGACGCAAAATGTCATAATTAATTAAACGATATACGTACGTAGATACACATAGGTAGGTATACCATTTATGATTTAGGTACTATAATAAATAGTATATATAGAAGGTATGTATATAAAATAAATTGCCGCAGTTTGTATAATGTATCTTATCGATTTTGTCGCAGATTGTATAATCTTGATTTTTTTTTGTCGCAGTTAACATATCGACTTTTAAAAAAGGTTTATTTTGTCACAATTTACATACAGCTATTTATTTGAATTCACATAGAATGTTTTTATTTTATACTTATAAGAAAATCGATTCGATGTTACGTGCATAGTTCTTGTATACTATTTTATCAGGCCATGTCAAAATAACTGTGAAATAATTTTCAACTAAGCATTTTGAAAAGCGTCTCCGTTTACTGAAACGATGTGTTCCTTGTGTCTTAACGCTTTCCACTTTAATGTATTGCTTTTATTATTGTTTACTTCATACATGTATCTTACTCTGATTTAAAATTGAATTGGTCGCATATGTTTTGCAAATTAAATAATTAATTAACTTTATAACTTAATAGCTGTTAGACGCGATTTTTAGTATTATGTAATTCGTACACTTTCACGAAACTATATCAAACCATTTTATGAGCATGTAAAATCGTTGTTTTAATTGTAATGAGGAAGAGATACTATATGCGGTTTATGCACGTTATTTAATTATACTTGGTTCTATTATGTTATAGGTATTCCTGTTTTTTTTTAATATATTTTGATGTTCTTAGTAGCTTTCAATTAAAAAACAAATATTTTTAATTGTAATTATTTTTATGACACGATCATTTTTAATTTTTTTAACTTTAGATTTAGAAATTCACAATGTGTACAGGTAGCAAAATTAGAATATGTGATATATTAAATATTAACGTGTCGTTATTGAACAAGAAGTCATCCATTAACGATACTTGACTGGGAATTTAGTAATGTTATCTAAATAGATTTTTTTAGTTTGTAACAAGTCACGGCAACAAGACCTTTTTATACGACACTTAGGGTTGCCTGATATATTATGGGTTTAGAGGTTCTAAGTATGAGTGCATTATAATGATTTTGTAAGATGATTATGAAACCATTTATTGAAATGAGTAGCTTCTTCTTTTACAGTTCTAATTGAGAGGTCTTTGTACAGAGAGTAATTGGATATTAAATGTGGGGTATTTGTAATTTTTCTGAGAATTATAATTCAAAACTGTAGGATTTCGATTGTGTTGGAAACTTTCACAGTGCCTCATAGTTGGAGGCTGATATGATAATTAATATTGATTTCTGTAAGGCGATACAATACTGTTTTAAAATTTAATTCATCGAGTTGTCGAATTACTGAAAATGTTTTCTATTTTTATATTTTTGCGGATCTCGTGCATTTAATGTGCATATTTGAGATTTTACGTTTGGTGATACTTGAATTTTTAAAATAATCAAAGATCAATCGTTAATTATCTTGCTGAATTTTCAAGATCACTTTTTTCAAGACAGAGTGATGCACTCAAAATGTGATTCTTTAGAATATAAAACGTATACAGTGTATACTATACATACACACTGTTTACCTTCTATACGAATACTATGACGTTATTGTAAATTTATAGAAAATGTTTAAAGTACGCGGTAGCAGTGTGGTATCCATGCACTATGTATTCCTACTTTTATATTCACTTCAGGTATTTATTATTTTTTTTTTTTATATATTTGTTCTTCAATTTATGTTTCCCAATAACAATTTATTCGCAATATTTTATGTATGTACAGAAAATTATTTGTTTTAATTTTAAATTGATAATTGCAGTTTTTAGTGAAGTGAAATGAGTGTCAGAAACTTATTTTAAATATCTTGATTATACGTCTATATTAATTTAGTCAATTTGCTCTTGATTTAATTTGTAATATTATAATTAGGACTCGGATGTTTATGACTTGGCATATTCTTTTCCTGTAACCAGAATTATACCCAAATATGATATAAATTCGATTCATGAAATTTCGATTGCAAATATGTAAACTTATTTTGCATATTTTTGAATATTTGACATTTTTGAGCATATAAATGCATATATCGATTGTTTCTAGATTAAGTAGCATATATTTTATAAATTATAAGTTTATTATTAAAAATCGTCTATAAATTATAAATCATTACTG